AAAATAAAAAAAAAAAGTTAATTAACACGTTAAATTTCTGTCTCCAACAGTTAAATAACTGTTGGAAACAGTTATTTAGCAGCCAAGACAGGAATATTAATTTAAAAAAATGAAGAAAAAAAGTCAATTAACAGTTAAATTACTGTCTCCGACAGTTAAATAACTGCTGGAGAAAGTAATTTAGCAGCCAAAACAGTAATATTAATTAAAATATTTTTTTTAAGAAAAAAAAAATTATAAAGAAAAAGAGTCAAAGCCGGAGACCTACCGAAAAAAAAAATTCTGAAAAAAAAAAGTTTAAAAAAAAAAAAAAAAATCAACGCCGGAGACCGGCGGTCTCCGGCGGTCAACGTCGGCTGACCGGCGGTCTCCGGTGGTGGCGGGTCAAAATTGAAATTATGGTTAAAATTTGTTAATTGGTGAAATTTGGCTAAATTGGGGTGTAAATCATGAAATTGAAGTTGAATTGAGTTTCAATGAATTGAGGGTAATTTTGGTATATATAAAAGGATTTTCCTTATTTGCACATAAGTTTGAATGAGTTGGATTTATTTGAAAGACAAAAAAGTTGGATGTCTCTCTTTTAATTAAGTGCCCTTGTCATAGGCCTTTTTGAGATTAACCCTATTTTATATACCTCTAGGTGCCTAATAAACTAGGGATAAACCCAAGACAAAATCATCCTTAGGCATATCATCCTGGAGATGCGAAAATACTATAATCCCCATATATGCAATTTTTGGTCAAACCGCATTCAACATTTCTGGCTGCATTTAGCATTTTCACTGATTTATTTATTTTTTTATTTATTTTTAATTTTTTTAAATACATGTTTGTTTAGTTTATTATTTTTTATTTTTTATTATTTTTTTAAATCGATATGTTTATTATACTGAAAATAACTACATATAACTGTAATAAACTATAGTCATTCGTTGTTATGTTCTTTCTTTTTACCCCAAATTTTTATTCGACCAATTATGTACACACACGAATATTGGCTTATACAAAAGAAATTCATGAACCCCAATAACAAAAATTCACAACTTAAATATTTATATTATAAATCACCTCATAACCAACAAATACAAATCGAAAAACACAAATATATGCATATGTACTCACATGGTAAAGTACAGTAATGTATACAGTCTGCAGAACACTATAACTTGAAGCATATGTAACTTCAACCAAAATTTTGACATCTTCAAGGAAAGGATCAACGGCTTTCATTAAGATGCAATTGCAAAATCAAAACAAAAAACATATTTTAGTGCAAATCAACAAAAAAATAAGATTCATCAAAATACTCAAAAATCAACAAACACTTTGAGATCGAGAGATAGAGAGATAGAGAGAGGGAGAGGTCATAGCTGCGAAATGCTACGAATTTTAGAACAAACCACCAACCGATAAAGAAAAACCAAATGGTAGCAAGGTTCGATTGTGCTTTTTATCGAATTCAATCCTAGCCAATTAAACAAAAAATTAAATTAAAAAAAATTGTAGGGAGGAAAATCCTTCACACCCATGGGTTCATGTAAGTTAATTATTGCATCAAGATTTGCTAATTTAACTTTGATTTTGATCTAATGATGGTATAATTAAGGTTGGAAGATTGGGATTTTTTTTGAATTTGGTTGATTTTTTTCCAAAAAATTCTGATTTTCGAAATTCTAGTTCCGATTATGCTAATAAGAGACGGGATCGAAATTATATATATGAAATTTTAGATTTTAGTTTGATTTGAATTTTAAAAAATGTTTAATTAAGGTTGGAAAATTGGGATATCTTAATGGAATTCAATCCTAGCCAATTAAACAAAAACAAATTAAAAAAAAAAATTTGTAAGAATAATGTTGTACATGATGGACCTCCACCAACAAATTTGATGAAATATGATTCTTTTGTACGTAACATAATTAAATAGAAGACCAAGAAATGTTCAAATGGAAATTTAAAATCAAATACATGGGTTCTTTTATATATATATATATTTGTATGTTATTTTTTTATTTATGAAATATTGACAGCTAAAATGAAAGCATAATTAATACTAGGGTAAAATTCATTTTGCACCCCTGTACTATGAGAAATGTATCGTTTACCCCCCTGATGTATGAAAAACATCAAACACCCCCCTGCCGTTAACTTTTTTCTTGAATCCGTTAGTCAAACCCTTTGACTGGCCGTTATAAAGACCCGTTGGCTTTTTTTTTTTTTTGACGAAATTACCCCCAATAATCTCTATATATAGATTGTCTAGTTTTAGCCCTTTTTTACTAAATTTTCCCACTTATTCAACCTTTTTTTCACTCTTTTCAACATGTTTTTTTCACTACCCATTTTTTCTTCTGTTCTTGAATTCTTCATTTGTCTTAGATCCACATATTTGTAAACCAACTAACTATGTTTCATATTGATTGTAACCAAACAACTTAATTTTAGATTCTTCAAAAACAACTAAACATGTTTCTTATTCTTTCCAGCAAAAACAAACGTATCCAAAAAATTGGTCAATCAAACAAAACCTATATAGATATTATTGGGGGTAATTTCGTCAAAAAAAAACCAACGGGTCTTTATAACGGCCAGTCAAAGAGTTTGACTAACGGATTCAAGAAAAAAGTTAACGGCAGGGGGGTATTTGATGTTTTTCATACATCAGGGGGTAAACAATACATTTCTCATAGTACATGGGTGCAAAATGAATTTTACCCTTAATACTAGACATTAATGATCAAGTACAGTGCAGATGCAACATTTAGTCCTTTCACATATGTATTTGTAAACAACAATATTATAAAAAAAACATAAGCATTTAATTTATATAAAATAAAAAGTCATTTAACAACAAGGGAACAAAGAAACGCGGTTAAGAGTAATCATGTCAACCATCAACGTTAATTATTAAAATGAGGATGTTTCAATTAATAAAACTAATTAACAACACGTCAATTATTTATTTGGAGAAGTCAACTATATATGGTTTAATTAGTTTGTTTCTCTACTGTATATAATACATATCTTTAAGAACATTAATATTCATCACACATTCAATTTTCCCTTCAATTCTCTCTCTCTCTCTCTCTAAACAAGCTAAGGGGGGAAGAGAGTTAGTGTGATAAATCATGGACTCTTTTGTTAGGGTTTTGGTGGTGATGGCGTTTCTGATTGGTGCCACGTCGGCAGGCAATTTTAATACAGATGTAACTATAACTTGGGGCCAACCACGTGCTCAGATTCTAAACAACGGCCAACTTCTTTCATTGTCCCTCGACAATACTTCTGGCTCCGGTTTCGAATCCAAATACGATTTCTTGTATGGAAGGTTTGATGTTCAGCTCAAACTTATCCCTGGAAACTCCGCCGGCACTGTCACTACATTTTACGTAAGCCTATCGCTAGATCAAATGTTACTTCATATATATATATATAACTTATATATATGTGCATCAGATGTCATCACAAGGGACAGCACACGACGAAATTGATTTCGAGTTTTTGGGGAATGCTTCGGGGCAGCCATACACTGTGCACACAAATGTGTACGCACAAGGAGTAGGTAATAAGGAACAACAATTCCGCCTTTGGTACGATCCAACCCTAGCGTTCCACACTTACACCATTCTTTGGAACCCCCTACGAATCATGTAAGTCGAATACGCATTTATTTTCTTCAAGTTTCAATTCACATCACTCTCTAATGTTCACTCACTTCAAGATTATTTTTAAACAGTCCCTAAGGGTGGACAAATGTCAATAGTTTTTAGGTCGAGCTCTGTAACTAGACAATGTTATTTATACCTCCAGTGTGGTTTGCGAGTTATATAGGTGGAGGTGAAAATAAACCCTTTATTAGGTATTTAGTTAATTAGTTTAATTTCCAATATCTTGAGGTATGAATTTGAATTGTGTACAAGAAAATCAAAAAAGCTGAAATCAATAGTACATGATATCTTCTAGTATTATATATAGATCATAAATTAAATGGCTTTTATGTATAATATAATTGTTTCGATGCATGCATGCAGCTACATGGTGGACAATATCCCCATTAGGGTTTTCAACAACTACATTGCAAACGGAGTGCAATACCCGACGAGCCAGCCGATGAAGGTGTACGGCAGCTTATGGAACGCCGATGACTGGGCAACACAAGGGGGCCAGGTGAAGACAGACTGGACAAAGGCCCCCTTCACCGCCACTTACAAGAATTACAATGCGAACGGATGCATTGTTAATGGAACAACCAATTCATGCAGTAACAAACCTAGACAGTCGTGGCAAACTATGGGACTCGATGCAAATGCAAAGAAGAATATCCAAACGTTACAACAGAAGTATATGATTTACAACTACTGCACCGATGTTAACAGGTTTCCTCAGGGACTTCCTAAGGAATGCGGACTCCCAAAGTTCTAGGCCATCGTACGTACGTATGTGAGTGATCGATGATTATCTCAAGCTGCTTTCTTCTATTGTTTCTGATCCTTTGATTTATATATTGTAACGTTTTCCCTTTCCCTTATTTTTTTAATTTTTTGGTTTCTTTTATTTTATAGTAGTCATTTTCTTAATCGACTATGCTTATATCGCATACTCAATTAATATACCTGATAGAGAAAAACGAAAAGAAAAATTAAAAACTTAAAAAAAAAAAAAAAAAATGAGCTGATGAGGTGGCAGGGACATAATTGGTGATAGTGTTATGAGGTGACAAGGACATAATTGGATGAATGGGTGGCTGAAATTAAAAAGGGACTTTTCTTAAATGGTACAAAATGGTTTGGACCTCTCCCTAATTTTAATATTGATGGTTATATCAAAGATCCTTTAAAATAAAGCAAAATATTCGGTTTGAAAAAAAAAATATTCTAAATGTTTCATAAAAATGCAAGCTAATAACTGTTTTCTTTTTTTCTTTAATCTAATTTACTATACACAAGTAAATTAAAGAATAACAACTTTACATTCATGTAGAAAACACATACAGTCGTCTACCGTACTGAATTCTCCGCACAAGCCTTGGAAATTTCCTTGACAACCATAGCTCGAGCCCGATTAATCGTAACGAGGCACAAATACACGTGCTCTTCGAGCTCCTCCACTTGTTTCTTGAACCCTAATTCATACTTTTTAATCTCCTTCAACACTTGGAACGAAAGCCGATCTTCCCTCCTTTCGAAACACAGCTCAATCATTTTCTTGTTGTGCTCAATCTCGTCCCGAAGCCTACCGACAAGTCTACTTATCGTGTCGAAATCTCGGTTCAATATATACGCACCCTTTGCAGCGGCGTCAAGTTGGTCCACTAATTTCCTCAGCAACCCACACTTGAAAAATCGAAGGTTTCGAATCTTTCTCTTCAACGGCTTCAACGGCAGGCTGAAGATAGCGGGGCCCACGAGGAGCAACGTTAGGGTATGAGCCGCCAGAAACACGGCGGCTCCCGCCACGAGCCCGCAAGCCGTGGTCGCACAAACCCTAGAAGCCGTGTTGAAGCATTTAACCATTTTAATTTTTCTTGCCACCTTTTTCCTATTGAACTTCAATTGTTGCAAAACCGAAAAGTGCTTCTCGTGAATTTTCTTGAATTCTTGTTTATTGTTCAAATTTGAGAATTTAGGGCTGTTGTTAATTAGTACAACGCACGAACGGAGCTCGGAGAAAACGGAGCCGAATTGATCGTCGGATGAAGAGTAATTATCGTAGTATTCACGGTGATCGTGTTCGTTACCGATGGCGTTATAAGTAAGTTGATGAATGATGTTGTAATAAGATTGAAGATGGTTCAAACTTTTTAGAAGGTGGCTGCAGAAGCTAGAAGCGTCGGCGCTTATTTGGAAATAATCGAGGAGGAGCGATTTTAGAACATGGGATGATTTGTTGTTTTTCGAGAAAAGTGAGGATGAATCGAGGATCGATGTTATTGTTTCTTGGCCGGGGTTGAGAAGAAATTCCGACGATATTAAAATCGGGTTGTCGTTCAACTGCAGCACTTGGACTTGTAAGAACAAATCTGCAAAGGATTTTGTTCTTACTGCACATAGGTATTCTTGGTTCACACTAGTAACGCTTTTGTAAGGCTGTTTGATTTTCTGCTTTTCTGCAAAAATAAAATTGTTAAACAGATCAGAAATACAAAGACAATTAATTAGCGTACATTACGGACATCCCTGAGTTAAGATTAAATTCTAAAAAAAATAAAAAAAAAATACCCTATTGTTTAGGTAAGGTAGTTACAATCACCTCAACTATGAGTATTCTTACACGTTCATCCTTATGGAGTTAAATTCAACAAAATCTTCTAGATTTCGTGAAATGTTCTCCAACCAATTTATACTCAATTTGTGCAAATGTGCAGTTTCTGATGCACCACAATTAGTGGTAGAGCCACCCTTTGGCAAGGGTAGGCTTCAGCCCAATGTGGATTTTTAGAAATTTCTACTAAATACTATAGCTATATCTAATCAGCCCATCAAAATAATTTAATTTAGCCCACCCACCAAAAAAATTATGTGTTATTAGTTAAAGTTTATAAATTTTTAGTTATTTTGTGCTACTTTATATGAATGAATCAAAAAAAAAAAAAAAAAAAAACTCGGGGTCACTGCCCCGAACCCCCGTAAATATTAACCCGAATTCCTGGCTCCGCCACTGACCACAATCTCATATTTACATCTTGTGATCATCTTATTTCAAATTAGATAATATTTCACATAATCTAAAAGATTCCACCACAAGAGTGGACGTGTAATAAAATTCATAATTAAGCGTGATTATAATTAGCCAAAGAGAAGGCGTTTTTTTTTTTTTTTTTTTTTTACCTAATTTGCCTTAGCTCAGGGAGGCCCGTAATTTTACCAAAAACAATCAATATGGATTTAATCCAGAAAGAAAACATTTGCTAGGATCAATTAATACAGATCTAGAAATTAATTAAGATCAAATAACGAACCTTTCATGCAGTTTGCAGAAGTTCTGAATATTCTTGCCCACATCTTGAGATTCGAATTGAACAGCTAATTTCAAATTCAAAGATGAACTGAAAACCATGTAATAACTTGCAAGTTCGTGACAGCCAAAAAAGAGGGTTTGGTTTTCTTAATTCCTCGTACAAATTAAAACCAACTTTCTATGTAAGAGAAACTAAATAAAAGGCCTCATAATATATATCTGTTGAGAAAGCAGTTTAATTTAAGGCATGTATTTCACGTCATCTGTTTTAGACAACTCTGAAGTTTCATCTGACCCTATATATATAGATATACATAATACGTATAGCAATTTGTGTGTTTGTGTGTGTGTGTGTGTGTGAGAGAGAGAGAGAGAGAGAGACTTATCCGAGAGGTTTGCTAGGTTTCAGCCTGATATAGTGTATAAGACGTGGCGGTTTATCTGTATGTATTATTAGCATAGCGGTTATTAATTCCCGTTTTGTGTGAGAGAGAGAGAGAGAAGACTTGTCCAAAATGTGCACTTTGTGTGTGTGTGTGTGTGTGAGAGAAAGAAAGCCTTGTCCAAGATGTTTGCTAGGTTTAAGGCTGATGATATAGTGTAAGATGTGGGTTAATGTTTATCTGAATGAATTATAATTAGAATGCGTTTTTAGTTTTATCCCCTTCATCTTGCTTTTTTGTGCACAATTTGCATGAACTTTTTTATTTTTTTCCCGCAAGGAATGGCTTATCGGTTGGAGCAAGTGAGCATGTGTCAATTAACCCAGGTTTGAATTTCCTTGTTAACTGTCGCTAGGTCGAGTTTGTCATGCATGGTTAACCTAGTGTGATTTACATCTCTTGTATGGTTTGCAGGCTATAATACATGAGTGTACATTTACCCAACGCACCTATATGGTTGGATGTTGGTTCCTTTGTTGTAAAAAAAATATATGCATGAATTTTTGATTTTGATAGAGCATCTTGAAGAATGTGATGTATCTATTATACATATACTTTATATATAGTCTTTAAAATAATTATGAGCAAAAATATCTTATATATAAAAGAAAGAAACGATGGGCAACCCTAAAAAACTCTAATGGTATTTCTGTAATTAAATATTTTTAACTTTTTTTCTCTACTAATTTTTAACCATATTTTTTAACAATTATTAAAATTGAAACTAAATCCCGAAGAATCATATTTAATGGTACTTTTGTAACTATTTATTTTTAATATTTTCTGTCTACTAATTTTTTAACTATAATTTTCTACAATTATCAATCTCATATTTTTCATGAATACATCTCAAATCTTAAGAGATAAAGATAGAAATTCGATTCGTTAAATCTTAATCTATATATTTGGATTATAAATCTTAATATGTCAGATTTAAAAAACTAATATTATATAAAATATGAATAATACTACATTATTAAATTTTACTATGTTAGTATATTATATTTTCTTATTATGTATTAAACTGATTATTTTTTTTCACTTTTGAAATAATATCCCATGCATCGCACGGGGAAAAAATACTAGTAATTTCTAACAACAAAATACCAAAAAATAACCACTTGTAAATATAATTATAGGTTTGGCTTCTCAAATGTGAGAAGCATAAAACTTAGAAATATTAAAATAAGTACTACTTTGTGGTCTTTCGTTATTATAGTTTATTTTTATAATTTTATTAATTATTTATAACAAAGTTCCGAGTATTTTTTTTTGCCTATCTTCTCGTATTCTTAAGATAAAAGGAAAAAAAACAAGGCTGCGGCTATATGCAAGACTAAAACTACTTGTGCAAGACCAAATTAAATTTTTCAATGTATAAATACTATAATACCCTTGCTTGTTAAAAAAATAGAAATTTTAAAATGTGCAAGACCAAAAATTCAAAAACACAAAAAACCCTATCACAAGACCACAAGGCCAACTCTCATCTTCTCCATCTTCCAAAAACCACAAGACCTTTCTCCTACATCCTCCATAAACCACAAAACCTAAACATTCAACATCATCAAAATTCAACAAATCTTTCAAAGATGGCAAATATGGAGTCAGAAGACATCAAAATAGAAGATTCTACGGTGGAAGAACCCAAGAAGGTATGCATTTATGGATTTTTTAGCTAGAATATCGTTTTTCCAAAAAAAATCTCGCGCAAACGAATTCGACATGTACAGGTCGAATTTTATGGGTAAAAATCGACATTTAGATGTCGATTTTGAGGTATCAAATTCGACATTTGGCAATGTCGAATTTGTGCTATAAATTCGACATGTCAATGTCGATTTCTGCCTTTAAAATTCGACGCTTAAGTGTCGATTTGTAGCATAGTTTTTCGACACCTTGGTGTCGATTTTTACCAGTTTCAAATTTAATTTGTTTTTACTATTTTTTTGTAAGGTTTTACCCGTTTCTAATTTTTACCAGTTTCATGATTGTGAGCGGCGGGGCTGGCGGCGGCGGCGATCGGTGGTGGAGCTTGGGCAGCGGAGCTTTGACGGCGAAGAAGGTGGGCGTAGGTGGAGAAGGTGGACGTAGGTAGGGTTTGAGGAGGGGGGGCTGTTTGTTTTTTTAATTCACGCATCTATTGTTTTTTTTTTTTCCTCATTATTTGTATTTGGTCTTACATGAGAGAAAAAAAGTCAATCTAATTTATGGGTATATTTGTCCTTTCATCTTAATAAAATAGAATCTTTTGGAATCTTTCTTTAATTTGGTCTTGCACAAGTGGAATTACTATTGCATATAGTCGCAGCCAAAAAACAATCCTAATTTTTTTTAGGGGCGCTGCCCCCGAACTCCCGAAAATTTAAGCTCATCCTGTAACAATATGTTAAACTCGTCACTCTTGAAACAATTGTTGTTGTCATTAATTTATTTACGTTATTTTTTATGTATTCGGGCCCCGATGATGAAATCCTGATTTCGACACCGAATACAATCATAGCTAATTAAATTAGGTTTGAGAGTGTTCTATAATTAAATTGTATGTTTTTCTTGAGCCACAATGCCTATGTCGCGCGTCTTCAATAAGCTAGTTTTGGAGTTTGTAGATTTTGGAGAGTATGTTTGTATAATAATATTTTTTTATTTTTTTTGGAGAATTAATAATTATAATAATTTAAGACTATGGATTTGCTTAGATGTGAAATAAAATTAATTAAAGAAATGAGTCAGGTACTGAATGCATGAGAAACACTATAAAGTATAGAACTGAAATGCTGTTATATGGCGGCGCCACGCATATTTCATATACTATTTTTGGAATTATTGATGTTTCTTCTATAAGGTATGTATCTATCTTCTTTCTTTTAATTTCGTCATTCAAAATTATGCGTACATAAATGGACAAACTCTTTAGCAAAATTGAACAAGTTCAAATTAAAGGCCCACATAATCCATCAATCACATATTATTATATCCTATTAGACCAAAAGCTCCACTTTTATCTATTTAAAACAAACGATAATTTGCAAAACACCCTTCAACTTTCAAATTTGGGCATACAACTTTTGCAATTTGTTAAAAGTCCTTTGTTTTTCATATCCATCTTCATCGCCTATCCTAGTTGTTCTCCGCAACCCGCCAGGGGCGGATTTAGGGGGGCCAAGTATGCCATGGACCACCCTAAATAATTAAAAGAAGTTTGACTTAGTGGTAAAGATGTCCAAGTTGTTAGAAGAGGTCATGAGTTCTAACTTATTATGGTGCAAACACTGTTGCTTATTTTCTTTGTCTCAATTTCTTTTGAGCCGCTCTCCCCAAAAACACATTAAATTATATATATATTATTATTTAGTCCACTCAAAATTCAAAATATATAAATAAAGTCCTAAATTTTTTCTTCTCATAATTTATCCAAAAAAATAAAAAAGATTAAATTTTTTCCCCTTCTCCTAATTTATCCAACAAAATAAGTTTCAATTTTTTTTTTCCGGGGCCGCTGCCCCTGAACCCCGAAAATTTAACCCCACTGTACAGTAAATTCCTGGACTCGCCATAGCCGGCATACCCTTAATTTTCATCCTATATCCGCCACTGCAACCGCTATACTCCATTAAAAATATAAAGAATTGTTTGGTGATGATAATATTGGTGATATTGTCGGTTGCATATTAATATAACTAAATTGTACAAATCACCGCGTCTGGACCTGACCACCGGTTCGGTTAAAACCGGAACCGGAACCGGAACCAAACCAGGGTCAACGGTTTTAGAACCGAATCGGAACTGGTTTGACCGGAACTGGAACCGGAACCGAAAAAACCGGTTCGGTTCCGATTCCTCATTTTCGGAACCGGGAACCGATGGTTAGAACCGCGGTTCTAACCGGTTTTAAAAAAACAAAAATATTAATTTCCTCTCTGTGTCTATATATATATATATATATATATATATATATATATATATATATATATATATATATATATATATATATATATATATATATATATCCAAAGTGAACAAAGTTCACCTCCAAGTTTCAGTTTTAAACACTTTTGGTCCCTGCCGTTACATGTCCGTTAACAAGTAACGGGAAACACTATTTTGCTGTGAAAATTGAAATTTTACAATCTTTTGGGGCTGAAAATAATTATAAATTTAAAATAGACTACTTATAATTTTTAATAATAAAAAAATTTAAAGAAAAAAATTATTTTTTAATATACTTAATACTATTATAATTATATTACTTATATTTAATTTTTTAATAATAAAAAAAATAACTTAACAAATTATTTTTAATCATACTTAATATTATTTTTAATTATACTACTTATGATAAAAAAAATTAATAACAAAAAAATAAATTAACTAAAAAAAATTATTTTTAATTATACTGAATATAATTATAATTGTACTACTCATAATTATTTTTTTAAGAATAAAAAAATAAATTAACTAAACAAGTTATTTTTTAATTATACTTAAAATTATATTTCAATTATACTACTTATAATAAAAAACTAATAATAAAAAAATAAATTAGCTAAACAAATCATTGATAATTATACTTAATATTCTTATAATTATATTACTTATAAATAATTTTTTTTAATAATAATTAAGAAATTAACTAAATAAATTATTGTGCATTATACTTAATATTAGTTTTCATTATACTTCTTATGATTATTTTTTTAATAATAAAAAAAGAAATTAACTAAATAAATTTTATTATACTTAATATTATTAAAAATTTAATTATAAGTAGTCTATTTTAAATTTATAATTATTTTCAGCCCCAAAAGATATTAAAATTTCAATTTTCACCCCAAAATAGTGTTTTCACCTCAAATTTCAACTTGGAGGTGAACTTTGTTCACTTTGGAACAAGGGGCACCAAAAGTGAAAACGGGCCAAACATGAGGGACCAAAAGTGTAATTCTCCCCACTAACTCGTATATAACTCAATAAATATTTTTTGCAAAAAATTAAATAAATAAATAAATTAGGATAATCGTGTATTGAAACTGGAAATAGCGTAAAATTTCAAAGCAGAAAAAAAACCCCAAACAAACCCCTCAAAATCCCTCAGAAAACCCCCCACCTCCAAAATCCATTTCCGTACAGCAAAAACCGAGATGTCGAATCCACCACGCGACGGCGGCGGCGGCGGCGGCGACGGCAACAAGAACAATGAATCGGACAAGACAGTAGCGAAAACTGCGGGGTTTGTAGTCTTCTCGGGAATCGCTATGAGCATTCTTAAAGCCATTATTAGCCCCTTCAACAACAGTAATCAGTGCCATACATCCAAAATGGAGCCGCTCAACGATTCAACTCAGATCGGTAAGACTCGTGCCCAGCCTCCGCCGCCGTGTTGTAAGTCGTCATCTCCTCCGCCGCCCCTGCAAGCACCCCCACTTCAGGTAATAATAATTTTGCCTTTTATTTTGCATATATTTATGTATACATTACTCAACACATTTTAATTTCTTCTTCTCTTTCTTTATATTTTCCTCCTATAGTTAGTTAGTCAGTGTGTGTGTGTGTGTGTTTTTGTTTGTGTGTGTAAACAACATTATTTACCTTTAAGCTACTACCTGATCTCACTTAGTAGTTCATGATTAAAATAGAAAAGGGTTTATAATTTTTTTGTATTGGTTATATTAAACTTAGGGGCCGTTTGGCTAAGTTTATTTTAAACAACTGATAAGCTCTTACGTCTCATAAGATCTTTTAAGAGTTGATAAGCAGTTACATCTTATCGTTATTTTTAGAATTAATTGTTAAAGTGTTTGGATAATGAGCTTATTTGCTAATTTTATTTATTATAGAATCTTAAATAAAAAGGTGGGGCGAATGTACGTTTAAAAAAAATTCTTATTTGCTCCTCCAACAGCTTATTTTAAGATTTTTTTTGTTAAATTACCACAACTTTGTAAGAGCTTATAAGCTCCTAAACATTCTATAATTTCATTTTAACATCTTATAAGCTTAGCCAAACAATCTCTTAAATCTTATATAGTCACCGTCTGTATTTGCCAGTGTATTTGCCAGTGCCAGTGTGTGTTTTTTATTAACATTGACATACTATGCTAACATTCTTGAAGCTCTTTTGGGAAGCTTTTAATACGATAGAAGTTGCAAAATGTAATAAGATTATGAATTCTCGTTAGACATGAATTTCATTGTACTGTAATGTATGCAGAAGCCTGTTACTATACCCGTGGAACAAAACGTGACGGAATCTACAGCAAAAACTGTAAAGATTGTGAAAGGAGATACCCTTTGGGGCCTTTCTAGAGAATATGGGGTACGTACGTCTATTTATAGTTATTTGTCGATTTTATTGTTTTTAAACAAAATATTTCGTTTCAAAGAATTTGAATTCTTTCGTTAGTTGAGTTTCTTGAAGGAAGTTGATAATTTAAATTGTTTATTTAATGGAAATGCTTTAGGTATCAATTGAGGCAATTAAGGAGGCGAACGGGCTTTCTGGTGATACCATTTATGCTGGAAAGAAGCTCGTTATTCCTTAGTACACGATTTCTCCGACAGAATAGTGAGGTGATTTTAGTGTGTGTCTTTGTTTCTCTTTTCATTCTTAAACAAGGAAAGAACAAAGGTTATGGTTCAAATGTTGTATCGGATGCGGTTTATGTCTTATGTAATGTATGAAACGATAGTTTTAGAGCTGAATGAATGTATGGGGAAAGTAATCATTCGAATTTTTATCCCATATTTAGAATGTATATGTATTTTGGCTCCTTAACTCTTTAACTAGGGTACATCGATTGTCATTCACGAAGGGTGTGGGTTCAACTTTTCATTTGAGATTAATTTAACAAATATAACCTCTTCTCTTGCTCTCCGTGCTTTCTCGCTATTTGGAATATGTCTATCTGTATGTATCTTCAATCACCTGCATTTTTGTACGCAGTTTCGCAAGCTTCTGTTCATTATTGATTTGATTACACAAATTTCTGTTCATTATTGATTTGATTACACAAATTTTGGTACATCGACGTAAGTAGGCCTTTTTGATTTTCTTATGTAAAGTGGTTAAAAGTAATCGAATATATACATCAATTTATGTACTTTGTTAAATTAGACTCGGATAATTGTACTCAATCAACAAATTGCCAAGTAAACCTTGGCATAATGACTTCTTCTGAGATAGGTCACAAAAACTACACAAGACAAGTTAACTTTTAAAATGATAACGACTTTGCAACTTGAGACCTATTTCAAGATCAAAGTAACCTTCATTCTTGAATCTTCAGACAAACACAGAAACAACTGATTCAAAAACCAGAATCAAATTCTTCGTAAAGATTGAGCATCAACCGCAATCGCAAACAATTTCGGTAACATAGGGATAAAAATTGCCAGTAAATCCAAATTAAACCCCTTAAAATAGTTATAACAACTCGTTCAGAAAACAGTTGAGGTAAAAACAAAAAAGTAGTACTAAAAGGCATATCCATATAATGTAATGCAAGAAGGTCGGTCTATAACTAAATAAGCTGATATGGTGTGCCGAACGAGGATAAAATGCAACATTAAATTAAGTGCCGATGTTTGTGGCTTTGTTGAGGATAACACCTTCGTATTTAACCTGGAACCACTTCATCGAATCTTCCTTTGTGACCCTGTGTTGTATCCCGACACGAGACTTGCACCTACGGCGCCTTCCGACTCTGTAACCTGGCCTTTCCAACACCACATAGAAGTCCATACCATAGATACCCGTCGAAGGGTCATACCTATACGGATTTATTAAAAATAATAATTAAAACAAATATACTGTAAAACCAAAACAAAAACAAGAAAAAGAAGAACATAGATTTGCTTACTTAATTCCGAGATCAATATGCTCTTGGATACCAAAACCAAAGCAACCAGTATCGCTGAAGTTTCTTCGTAATAGTTCATACTCCTTCACCTTCAGTCCACTCTCCAGGAGCTGCATTGCCTTGTCACCCCTCACTGTGACGTAGCATGCAATTTTTTCGTTACGCCTGATCCCAAAAGAACGCACAGTGTACCTCGCTGTCAAACAAAAATAATTCAACTGTCAGTAACAAGTACTATGTTCTTTTGTCTTAATTTATCTGGTAAATTATTTCTTTACTTCTACGATAACGTGAAATCACAAGGACTTTTATAAACAAGACAACTTTCCGGTATGTCATTAACTAAACAATTCCTCAACAAAAAAATTAATCCTCCCGCTACAAATTCCGTAAAGCACAATTAATTTTATAATTTTTAATTATATCGAGCAATTCTGCGATAACACATTAACATGTAAAATTTAGCTCTATTGAATACCAAGCATTGTTTATAAAAATTATCATGCAAATCCGCATACAATTTCTCAATTGTTTGAAAAATACGAGTTATTTATCATAACAAGTGCATACTATTTATTAAATCAGCCAATTAAATTGTAATTCAAAATTTCCCAAACATAAATAATTTCACTATGGATAATCAAATCACTCAATTACAATCCCATAAACCAAAAACCGGCACAAAAATTAAAAAAAAAATGATTACCTTTGGAGAAAACAGGGGTTTGGCCACTAAGCTGTTCCAAAACCTACGAAATTTTGAAGGAAAAATTAAGTAAAAAATGAAGAAAGATAAAAAAATAAAAAATTGGAGGGATGGAACTGCAGAGGAAATAAATACCTTAGCGGCTCTGGTGAGACGATCGCCGCTCTCGCCGACGGAGATATTGAGGACGAGCTTCTGAACCTTGATTTCTCTCATTGGGTTAGAGAGTTTCTTCTCCGATGCCTTCTTTCACGCATTTTCACAAACACGTATTAGTGGTTTCGGATATATACACACATTGTATAGATACAGATTTGCAAGTGGTTGCGGATTGCTTACCATGGTGTCGAGGTTGTGGGAGGTCCGGCCGCCGGCTGATTGAGTGAGGGTTTCTCAGAGAAAATGAGAATAGAGGCGTATGAAACCCTAAATAACTATCTAGTCGAGCTGGTGGGGGTGCGTTTCTTATATTTAACTAGTTCAGGGGTCAGTTTGCAAATTATCTTAGTAGTAACTTAATTTACTTGTGAATTTTAAATGTGACAAACAAAATTTTGTTAGTAGAATTTAAATGGAAATTTAACTGTGGTTTGTTATTTTCTTAGCAATTTTGTTCAGTTGATGTGAGATTTATTAATTCATTTGTTGAAAAAAAATGGTATTATTTCCACCTCTAAAGTATCTTAATTCACCACCTAAGTATAATATGGTATAAATACCCCTCAAATTTATAATTCATCACCATTCCTTATTGTTTAATCCTCATGTGTTCTAAGTTATTTGTATTTTATTTTATTTTTTTAATTTTTTTTTGCAATGAAAAATTTATTACAAGATATTTAGACTTTCATATCAGATGACGTACAAATTATATAATTTTTTTTTTAGGAAACAAAATTATATTTAGTCAAATTGGCCAATTCTCGAGGAAGTTCAGAACCTTCCATACAAACACTGTTAATTTATTTCTTCAAGAACGTGAATTCCTGCTCTTTTGGACCTTCGAAAATATTTTTCTCCGACGAAAGTATTATTCACTTAAGGTGGAGATCGAGGGTGAGATTTTGCAGTAAAGATTTCAGCGAAAATGGTGGGTTTTTTTTTATAAATATTTTAATTAGTTTATTGGTGTTCGCTTAGGAAATTTCATTAGAGCTTCAACAAGTTTATCATAGTTTATTTATTTATTTGTTTTAGTTGTGTATCCCTTTTCTTCGTTACTCATGTTGAAGTCGTTGTTCCTTTGACAAAATTTGTGTACAATGATTAAATAAGTTCTTTCATTGTATTTATGACCTCTGGAAATAAAATATTTATAATTTGTACATTAATTTATTAATTATTTACCACATCGTCCACAAAATTCTCTCTTTTTTTCCATAGCTTGATTGGTTATTTTGTACTGCATTTTAAGATTTCCATTTACTATCCACAAAATCCGGCTTTTTAATTATTATTTTCATTCATATCATTGCGTAATAGATAAATCTTGAAAATATTGACAATTTACACATTAATCTGCAATCAATCAATCCGCTCATAGGTCCACATTAATTACATATTTATATTAATATCAATAATAATATAATCTTCTAATTTATTTCAACCTAAAAGATATTGTTTCACTAACCACATCATAAATCCTATAAATACTCCCTCCATTGTTATCACTCACTTATTCGTTTGCTTTTTCATTATGACGTCCTTATATTTTTTTTCAATGTTTTGTGGTTTGTAAATATTATGATATTTCATTTCCATTATTGTTATACACTGTTATTTGTTCTTATTTTTTTTATTTTCATGTTATTCTTGATATTCTTTTTTCCATTGTTTTTTGTTGTTATTTTTTTAAAGTTGTTCTTGATGTTCATTGTCCATTGTTGATAACTATGTATATCTTTTCCATTTTTTCTGTTATTTTGCGTACCATACTACACTTAATATGTTGACTTTACTCCAATCTTGCCTTAATATAGTTAAATCTTATATATAAAAGAAAGAAACGCTAGGGCAACCCTAAGAAACCCTAATGTCATATTTGTAATTGTTTTTCATTTTTTATCAAATTTTTATCTCCTTAATATTATTTTAAATATTATTTTCGAATTTTATCATATTTGTATCCCCTAAATATTATTTTAAATATTATTTTTTATTTTTATCAGATTTTTGTCTCCTAAATATTATTTTTTATTTTTATAAAATTTTTATCTCCTAAATATTATTATAAATAATATTTTTTTAATTTTATCAATTTTATATCTCCTAACTATAATTTTAAATATAATTTTCAAATTTTAGCATATTTTTATCTCCTAAATATTATTTTCGAATTTTATCAAAGTTATATCTCCTAAATAATATTTTTAAATATTTTTTTTCGAGTTTTATCATGTTTTTATTAGTTTTTTATCTCCTAAATATTAATTTTGTTTTTTATCAGATTATTGTCTCCTAAACATTATTTTCGATTTTTATCAAATTTTTATCTCCTAAATATTATTTTAAATAATAATTTTGATTTTAATCATATTTTATCTCCTAAATATTATTCTAATTATTATTTTCGTATTTTATCAACTTTTATCTCATTAACATTATTTGAAATATTATTTTCGATTTTTATCCAATTTTTATCTTCTAACTATTATTTTAAATTTTATTTTCGGTTTTTATCAGATTTTTATCTCCTAAATATTATTTTTTGATTTTTTTATCAAATTTTTATCTCCTAAATATTATTTTAAATATTATTATCGATTTTCATCAAATTATCCTAGATATTATTTATAATAATCTGATTTTTGATTTTTACAGAAAAGGGTAAATAAATCTGATTTTCATCCCTAGCGAATTTTGTGACATCGTTTTACATAATGTCTGCAACATTTGAATTTTATTTCTTCCCTACCTAAGGCTTCTTCTTTTGGTAACCCGACTTTAGATTTTGTTTTTTATCTTCTTCATCCTATTGACTGTGTGGCAATTAGTTTACATCTTTTTCCATCATGGCTTATAGGTAATTTCATTTTGTTAGATTATGTGTTTCATTAATTTATACCAAAGTTTTCAAATTTTATGTATAACAATTATTTCATTTTATATGTTATTGGACATGTTATTGAAATGGATGATTTGAAAGAATTAACCAAAAATGGGCGGAGCCACAAGCTATTGGAAGTCGACATTCAAGACTTATTGTTTGTATGCGATATTTAATTTATTGTTTATATTTATTTTTGTTTCTTAATTTTCCAATTGTTAATTCCAGTGGCAAAACAGCCTGAAAATGAGGCAGTGGAGAAGGGCTTAGTTCCGATGCAAGATGTATAGATGGCCTTTTATGTTGTCGATAGTTTAGTTTTGATTATGTTAACTAAGTTATTAAATCTAATTACTTTTAAGCTCAACATGAAAGACATAGTTGATGATTTTTTTCCTGGTTCAAATTTTCAATCTACTGGTATTAGCTGATTCAACAGTAAAGTTATTTCTTTTTTTTTGTGTGTAGTATACTTAATGATGTTCCAGTATAATAGAATTTTGATCATACGATACATCAAACGTTTGTTTATATTCTTACAACATCAAAACAATGCAATTTGTTGTCCCGTGCATCGCACGGGTACAATTACTAGTTGTGTATAATTATGAAATCAGTTGATAATATCCTCTAATCATGCACAGTTAATACATATTATATGGAAATTTATATTCATGGTTATGGAATGATTAAGAAAAATTATATGAAAATTTGTATACGTATGCTTTATAAAAAAAAATTAATTATGTTATATATGTGATTATACTATAATTATTCGATTCTAAGATTTCATAAACGAGATTTTATAATGGTAAACTGATAATTTATATTTTTTTAATATGATTGTTTATTTAATTATTTTTATTATTTTGACAAACCCAAACCCACTTATTGGGATAAATTATTTATACAATATCTGTTTTGTTACTAAATTTAGACAAAATATAATGGATAATTTTTTTTATACCAGTAAAATAATTTTCTTTCATTTTTTAAGTTATATTTTGGTGAATTATGTGTATTGAAATACTTAAATTGTATCGAAAAACATAAAAAATATTTAAATATGGATAAATAATTTTTAAAATATGTATACCGTTATCACCACGGGATACAAGATTTTAAAAATTGGGTGAACGGTATTTGATAATGGTAAAATTAATAATTTTCATTTTTTTCAAAGTTATGTTTTGGTGACTTGTGTGCTTTGAACTATTTTAATATCTTACACGACTAACTTAAACTCATTTAAATTACGACAAATAATTTTTAAAATCTATAATTCGTTAACACTACTAGATACAATATTTAGTAATGAAAAAATAATAACTTTCATGTTTTTAGTTATTGTTTGGTGAATTATGTGGTTTGAACTTTGAACTGAGTTTATTTATAAAAAAAAAAATTGTCAACATTTATTTAAAAGATCTTGATGCATATAAATTCTGGGATATAATTTATAAGATGCCCATTTTGTTACCACCACTAAATAAAATATTTAATAATGGGTAAATAAAATTTTATAATGGTAAATTGTTTTTTGTGTATGTTATTAGTTGGTGAATTATGTATTGGCCTATTTTAATTACTTTAACTAATCACAAACTCATTTAAATTTAGATAAATAGTTTTATTTCTTTTGAGGAAATTTCGGTAAATAACTTTTAAAATACTTATTTCTCTACCCCATGAGATAAGAGATTTAAAAATTGGTAAATGATATTTTTATAATGGTAAATTAATATTTTTTTATTGTAATTTATTGTTTGGTTATTACTTTAATATTCCGACACACATCTAAATAATTTTTAGAATATATATTTCGTTACAACAACTAGAGTTAAATATTTAAGAAAATGGTAACAAAAATTTTAAAATCTAAAATAATATTTTTTTTAAGCTATAGTTTGGGGAATTATGTGTGTTGAATTAATTATTTTGATAAACCTAAATTCGTTTAAATTGGGATAAATAGATTTAAAAAAATTAATTCCGTTACTACAACTAGACAAAAGGTTCAAATCTGGGTAAATAAAATTTTATATATTATGGTGAAATAGTAATTATCATTTTTTATGTTATTGTATGGTGAATTATGTGAGTTGTACTATTTTAATTATTTTGACAAAATTACAACCCATTTAAATTGAGATAAATAATATTTCAAATTTTTATATTATTGCAATCACTAGATACAAGATTTCAAGAAAAGGTAAACGATATTTCATAAAGGGGAAATAACAATTTTTATTTTTTAAATTATTGGTTTGGTGAATTATTTACATTGAACTATTTTAATCTAATAGACTAACTGAGATAGCTAAGTTTCAAAATTTATATTTCATTACCACAACAAGATATGAGACTGAAAAAAAGG